ACACAAATCAAGTCAACAAAATAAATGCATAACCTCTCTGATAAAAACTTGCTTAGCAGAGCTACCTCACGAAGCTGCACAAACGACAAATGGGAAGTTGCCTTGCAGCTGCCTCCTACAAAAACTAATGGCTGAAAAAAGCTTCTGCAGCACCTGAGACATAAACATTGAATATTGGAAGGGCCCTTCTTTTTTTGCATGCATTTTGTTATGTTCTTTTAAATAGTTAAAAAAAATTCATGGGCTTCATTAAAAGTACAAAAAAGAAGAGGAAAACAAGAAAAGAAAAAGTACCGGTACTTAACAGGATGCCCCGTGGTGAAAGTTCATCATTATCATCACCACAGGGGGAAAAATTGGTATAGAAATAACTGAAACTGGAGAATTTCAGCTGTTTTGCAGGTCACGTCACAAGCATTGCTTTCTTCTAACTTTTCTGACTTTTGAAGATAAAGCATTTCTGTTTGCTGACCTTGCTATTCATTGGCAATATGTAAGCTATTCTTTGAATATTCAAATTATATATGTATAGAGACACATATAATTGCACACACATACATATACTTACACACATAAACACACACACACTCACATGCATGCATGCAGATATATGTAAGAGTATGTATATTCACACACGCATGCATGTAATAGAATTTGAGTTCCACCACAGATATCTTCTTAATTTTTCTTTTTGATTAAAGTGAACAGACAATCTTGCTCGATCTTGCTTTCACTCGTGGGTTGTAGACCATGCGAAGATTAGGCATGGTATCCCCTTCTTCATCTAGTTCCTTTGAATAAAGTTTTGTCTTTTCTGCAGCGCTGCTACGCCCCCTTACAGGTCCGTGTCATACCAGGCTGCCATCTGGTTATTGTCGCGAGGGGGCTGCGGTGGGGCTTGCTGGTCGAAGGTCAGGTCGGGATGGCCGGGATGTCCGGGCGGCAGGTCCCTGGGGTCTATAGGGCCGTAGTTGGATCCCGGGCCACCGTGCTGGGAGCCTATGTCCAGGCCTTGCATCGAGTCCACAGGCACATGGTCGTAGCCTCCTGAGGGGATGAGGAGGAGACATAAGTAAGGGCTTTTCACAGACCACAGATGATTTGAACAGAGATATTTTTTCAAACCTGTTTACATTTTCTCCTATTTCAGTAAATAAAAATTTCTAAAAATCTATGCACAACATATATGCATTCATACATGACTGATCCTCTTAACCAGCTCACCTTGATAGTTTGGCCCGGCATGTCCGCTGTGGACACTGGGCGGCCCTTGAGCATACATGGGATCGTAGTGGCCCTCAGGAGGAGTGATGAAGTCCTGGAGATCAGGGGGAATGGCAGACATGTCTCCTTGCCACATGGATCCATCCTCGCGGAACAGGGAGTTGGTCAGCTCCATGCTCAGTCTCTTCTTGTAGTCCTGGGGTTTGTCCTCTGACATGCGGAACAGCACGGCTGCGGCGTAAGTAGCTGTGGACGGAGGAGGGAGAACAGTAAGGAAGCGTCTCCAAATTATTTCCTAACCTACACCACAATCTCTATCTCATGAGAAACTACTAAGCACCAACAGAAACTGCAAGTGGGACAGCTACTCACCGACACCTTCGTTCCGCGAATGGAGCAATTCAGTGAGGGGAGCTGTGGCGCCTTCCTGCTCTATCATTTCAGCGCCTTCTTTGTCAGCTGCCAGTTCACAAAGCACTCCAGCGGCCACACGTTCTATGTTCTCAATGTCATTATACAAGAGCTGCAAAACACGATATGATTAGAGACACCAATAAATTTTCCAAAAATTTTATGATTTTATCTCAAAGTCAAAGAAACGACATGAAAAAAACAGCACTCGAAGACCTTCACACAAGTTTTTACCCCTCAGAGCAAATCACAGGCCAAGTGTCTCACCTGAACGAAGATTGGGATGACGTTGAGGCCACGAATGATGGCCCGGTTGTGCGACTCGCGAGCCAGGATGTGCAGAGCACCTACTGTGCCCTCAACAATCTCCTCCATGCGCACTCCATCAGCATAGGCCCCGATGCTGCCTGAACCACCACTAGCAACCGATGACCGTTGCTAATGAGAAAGAAGGAACCGATTTTTAAAAACTGGAGTGTTGAACGAATGAACGATGATACACAAAAATTAAGCAACAAGTTTAGAAGTGTTCTATACACAAACATGTATGCCTCTTACCCTCTGTGTGTCTTGGAAGGCCCTGATGAGCAGCTGCACCAGCCTAGGGATGGCCCCAGACTCCCTCAGAGGCGCATGATTGGCCGGGCACAGAGCCAAGTTTCGGATGAGGCCAATGACAGCCTTGACCAAGGGCCACCGGGAGGGGGGATGCAGGAGGTTCACAATGATGGGGATGCCGTTCTTTAGGCGGACGGCATTCTGGGCTACTTCAGCTTCAGGATGCCTTGCGGTTAAGTGACGAAGAGCACAAACCTGGGAGGGGAAAAAAAGGGGAATTAATTCTTCCTGCACATATTCATAAGTAAGGATTAAAACATTTGAATAACTAGTAATTTATAAAGGTAATTGTAACAGTCATTAGTATAGTAATAGTGATTATAATCATAACAGTAATAGTAATAGTTGTTGTTATAGTAATGATAATAGTAATAGTTGTTGTTATAGTAATGATAATAGTAATAGTTGTTGTTATAGTAATGATAATAGTAATAGTTGTTATAGTAATGATAATAGTAATAGTTGTTGTTATAGTAATGATAATGGTAATAGTTGTTGTTATAGTAATGAAAATAATAATAGTAATAGTAGTTGTTATAGTAATGATAATAGTAATAAGAGTGATAAAAAAATAAATAAATAAAATGGAATAAATGATCAGTTCATTGCACACTGGACACACCTCTAAAGTTACCTTCCCGACTCTCCCTTGACCAAACACCTGACCCCAGAAACAGAAAAGCAACTCACAGCAGGCTCCGTAATCTCCTCCCTCTCTCCGGCATTGTAGATTGTGGCCACAAGAGCCTCAATGCCTCCCACTTGGCAAACGGTGATCTTGTTGCGTTGGTTGTTGCAAGTCAAGTTGGAAAGGATTCCAGCAGCGCAAGTTACCACGTTGATGTCACTGGCACGGAGCAAGTGCACAAGATTCTGCAGAAGCTGGTCCATGCTGTCCTGCAATGCCAATATCTGGTTGATTAACAGGGGTTCATTTGTTACACAAGAGAAATGGTAATGCTAAAGGCTGCTGCACACTGTGGGGGTAAAAAACTTTGAGGCACATTCACAAAAAGGAAAAAAAAAATAAATAATAAAAAATTCAAAACCCTATATTCCTCTTCAAAAATATATCACAGTAAAACATGACTTCTGATATCTAATCAATATAGTCTCTCTTTCTTTCTCTCTCTCTCATCTAGTGATATCGAGGTCACCAAGAGATACATACGACTTTGGTTGCAGCATCTGAGAGGTTACGCAGCGTCCACAGGCAGTTTTGGACAAGGCGGGTTGACTGGTGTGTTAGGTGCATGGCAAGTGCCTGCATGCCACCAGCTTCAACAATGGCTGGCTTGTTACTTGAACACACAGACAAAACTAAGAAAAAAAAGAAAAAAAGCAGAAAATTTAATCATTAGTAACACAGTCTCAAAATAGATGTTGCCATATAAATCTATGTCTATCACCACCAATCACATCATTCTTCATTCTTGAGAAAATTCAGATACTGAATCTCGGAGTCTGTATTTTCAAAAATAAATATTAGGTCCCAGCTTTTTGCGTACTCAAAAGACAATACAAAGAAGTCCTCATGTAAATATGATAAAAAAGAAGGTAGGACCCCAATATTTACTTTGCATAACACAGCCTTCAGTATCCAGATTTTAGTATCTTTCAGCCGTCAAATCCCGAACTTCTCTCAATCTCTCAAAAGCTTCCCTTACCTTTGAGCACCCTGGAGGTCGTCCACAAGAGCTTCTCATAGGTGTAGGAGCGTAGGATTCGAACCAGCTCCTGAGGTCCCTGAGATGCTAAGATTATCAGCTTGGATTCCTGGTTGCCGTACGCCAAGATCTGCAAGCAGTCTGTGACGATGGCAAGGAACTTGACATTGTTGCGTTGGAGCAGGGCAACCATCTTCTGGAGACCTCCTGCCATGCGCACTGCTGTCTTGGAGCCTTCCTGGTGCAGCAGGAGGTTGTGGAGTGTGGTGATGGCGTAGAACAACACTGACTCTACTGGTGAGCTGTGAAAAAAAAAATCCAAATAAACAACACTCCCTAAAAGAAACATTTTCTCATGGCTAAAGTTTACTTTACCAGTACTTCACTTTTCATCAGTATAGATAATGGGGTCTCACAAAGGAAAATCTTCTGTTATTATTATACCTAAGAAGTTTCACCAATGCTGGAATGCCACCGGACTTGAAAATGGCCAGTAAACCCTGGCGATGATGGGACAAATTATGCAGGGCCCCAACAGTCACACGGGTTGTCTCCAGGTCGTTGGAATTGGTGAGAGCACGCACGAGGGCAGCCACCATCTGTTGGGAGTTCATAATGGCATGGCGCGAGGCCTCCTTCTTGCTGAGGCGATGGACCATCATGGCAGCCTGGGAGACAACTACCTGATCCTCATCATTGAGCAGTTTGATCAACTCTGGGATGGCTCGAGTTGCCAGGTCAGCATCATCCTGTTGGATAACAGAGTGTTAACATCTTTGATCATCTTCTATTATAATATTAATCACAGCCCATACATTCATCCTCCAACTCTTTCTAAACTTTCTGCTAAGATGTGTACACAAATCACCCACACTCACCTGATAGTTGATCAAGTTGACAACAGCATGTTTGAGCATCTGTGAGGGCTCTGCCAACCTCTGCACAGCTGTAGGCTGCTGGGGGTCAAACTGGGTGGAGGGGATCTCCATGCCCTCATCCAGTGTTTCTGGGAACATGGCAGCACGGACACGCTGGGAACGCGTCTGATTCAGCTGCTGGTTCATGTCATCAACCTTTATGTAAGAAAAAAGTGACAATGTTAATTTTGGATATATGCTCCAGTATACATCAGCATATACTTGACACATAAAATAAAACGAAATGCCCATTTACACGCTATACACAAAAGACTACCCTGGTACATGAACACCCAAGGAGGGCTCTCCATTCAGACTTTACCTGCTCACTGGTGAAGGCGGCCTGGTTGAATCCCTGCTGTGCTCTGCCCTCCATCCATTCTGTGTCCATCTCCTCCTCCTTGCCGGTGAGGGAGGGTGCGTTGGTGGTTGCACCAGAGTGGATACCTGAGTCACTCATGTAGGTGTTCTGCTGCCACATGGCAATCTGTTCCTTGGGGTTCTGCATGGGCATGTCCGCAGGGTTGTGGTAACCCCCCTGCGACACTGTGGGTGGGGAAGAGAGAAAAATTAATCGTGGGTTACTTGGTGCTGTAAAAATCACAAAATATAAACTAGACGGATATTGTGCTAAAGTAAAATAACCCATACGGTAATAAGTCAGGAAGAAATACAGAAGAGAAATATTTGCTCTGATTAAATTTACACTTCCTTAAAAAGTGGAACTGAAGCTGAATGAATGAGCTTAAAAAACAAAATTACAAACCTGGTTAAGCCCAAAAGTAAGAGATAATCTTATTTCAATTCATGCAAACCATTTTCCCATGCGCTCTCTAGAATGCAGCTAAAGTAGTAGAAAAAGACAGAACCTACAATAAAAAAACAACTAGAACCAAATCAATTTTTGATAATCATACATTTAGTAATCTAAACTACCTTGCAATTAATTGATTGGCAGTAAATGTAATACATGCTATTTTTATGTCTGTTTCCATGACCTGTGGGACAAACATAATGAACCTAACAAGAGTTCAACCATGAAAAAGGAAAATGAAAAAGGATAAAAAGAAAAGAAAAGACAAAGAAAAAAGAAAAAGAAGAAAGAAAGAAAAAGAAGAAAGAAAGAAAAAGAAGAAAGAAAGAAAAAGAAAGAAAGAAAGAAAGAAAAAGAAAAAAAAGAAAGAAAGAAAGAGAAGAAATAAAGAAAGAAAGAAAAAGAAAAGAAAGAAATCTTAAAATATATGTTATATTTGTTATCAAACTGTGCAAGTAACACTTTACATACAAACTTCTCATTTCTTTCCAAGTCACATCTAACCCATAAAAGTTTGCAACATAAATATATACAAAAATATTTGTAACCTACAAACAACTCAACAAAACACAATATCCCACAAAGATCACTCAATGTAACAGATTTTCCTATTGACTGGGAAAAAGCATCTCAACCCAAAGTGCATTTCAAAAGATCCTCCCCCCTCCCCTCCTACCTCCACCCCCCCACCTTCACCAGCTGACCCTCTTTGCCTCGCACGCCTCCCTGTGTCTCCCCGAAAATCAATATCTCGAGAGAACACAATTCACCCTCGAGATCGCACTCCTCCTCCTCAAGTAACGTTCCTTCTGCACCCATACCCTGCAGTTTGTGCAACGTAAATATTTAATATTCCTGCTTCTTAACTTCGGCCAGCGTAGGCCCTAACAAAGTGCATAACAAAGTGGAGTGGATCTAGCTACTGCAAGCTTGTAACAGCATAAATTAGTATATGTAAAGTCTAAACTCAAAATAACATACATACTGCATACACAAACTCCGCAATAAGTTTTTTCACATTGCAAAATTCATGCAGCTTCTTACTCTCTTTCACTAAACTTTTAAGTGGATTTGCATTTTCTACAAAACAGACAAAAAAAAAAAAATAATAATAATAATAAAAAAAATAAATAAATAAATAAAATAAAATAAAACGCTTCATTTATTAGTTTTACAGAGAACCGTATTATAACGAAATATCTCCCACATTGGATCAATGGGAAAATATAATGAATAAATATTCTGCTTATCATTACTCAAGCAGTTCCCTGAATCTCTCCATGCTACAGATGTTGCATCCACTCCCAATATCTAAATAATAATGGCTGTTACCATGATGGCCAGAATGCACAACCAATACTCACATGTGGCATTATAGGATAAAAATCCACCAAGCAATAGATAATGAAGCTATTAATACAGCTTGACAAAGTAATCAGATTAGACAGAGAGAGAGAGAGAGAGAGAGAGAGAGAGAGAGAGAGAGAGAGAGAGAGAGAGAGAGAGAGAGAGAGAGAGAGAGAGAGAGAGAGAGAGAGAGAGAGAGAGAGAGAGAGAGAGAGAGGAGAGAGAGAGAGGAGAGAGAGAGAGAGAGAGAGGAGAGAGAGAGAGGAGAGAGAGAGAGGAGAGAGAGAGAGGAGAGAGAGAGAGGAGAGAGAGAGAGGAGAGAGAGAGAGAGGAGAGAGAGAGAGAGGAGAGAGAGAGAGAGAGAGAGGAGAGAGAGAGAGGAGAGAGAGAGAGGAGAGAGAGAGAGGAGAGAGAGAGAGGAGAGAGAGAGAGGAGAGAGAGAGAGGAGAGAGAGAGAGGAGAGAGAGAGAGGAGAGAGAGAGAGGAGAGAGAGAGAGGAGAGAGAGAGAGGAGAGAGAGAGAGAGGAGAGAGAGAGAGGAGAGAGAGAGAGGAGAGAGAGAGAGGAGAGAGAGAGAGGAGAGAGAGAGAGGAGAGAGAGAGAGGAGAGAGAGAGAGGAGAGAGAGAGAGGAGAGAGAGAGAGGAGAGAGAGAGAGGAGAGAGAGAGAGGAGAGAGAGAGAGGAGAGAGAGAGAGGAGAGAGAGAGAGGAGAGAGAGAGAGGAGAGAGAGAGAGGAGAGAGAGAGGAGAGAGAGAAGAGAGAGGAGAGAGGAGAGAGAGAGAGGAGAGAGAGAAGAGAGAGGAGAGAGGAGAGAGGAGAGAGGAGAGAGAGAAAGAGAGAGAGGAAAGAGAGGAAAGAGAGGAGAGAGAGAAAGAGAGGAGAGAGGAGAGAAAAGAAAGAAGAAAGGAGAGAAAAGAGAAGAAAAGAGGAGAGGATAAGAGAGAGGAGAGAGAACTTCCAGGTTCTTCGTTTGTTTTCACTCTTCTTGTTCTTGTATTATCACCTTTTCTCTCTATCCATCCACTTCCCTCATTTTCTGACCAGCCTCACAATCTCACAACCCTGTCTCCAGCTCCATCCTCTCGCTACCGATAAGGCCAAGAGAGAAGACTCGTAAACTACGTCAGCATCAGAGGGTCAAAAGAACCATCTGCACTGGCATCTGCCCATGCAATCAGGAAATTGGTACAGGCCATCAAATGCCATGACTTCCCTTGTACGAGTGAAAGCCACCTCACCTGCCTTTAAGGACCAGCTGATTTTGATTGCATCCAGACTATAGATCACCAGGACACAGACAGGGATATCAAAACCCTTAATTAACACACACATTACAACACTGACTGAATTTCTACAGGATGCCCAATTGTCTAAAGAAGTCACCAGACAAAAATGAAGTGCCACTGAATTAGCAGTAATTATCATACATGTAAGGACTGAACTTACAAAGAAAATGTCTCTTTGACTTCTTTCATACATCTGGAGACTAAGCAAGTAAGAAAGATGCTCCGAGTATCTTACAGTTGACTCACAATATTACTGCAACCGAGTGCAACACAGTATTCCTTGAGGCAAGATCTATAGCCTCAGGTACTTTTGCTAATAGTACTGATGAGGAGTGTCAAGAAAAATTAACACTATAACAATGAACTGGTGAACATAAGGTAAACTATGTTCACTCAGTTCCACTTGCACGGTTTAGTTTTCATCTATCTGCCACTTCTCCAAACACAGAACTGTCAAACAATATGGTGAGTTGTCTAGTTCATACCATATTCATCATAATTATATGAAAGGCTATAGAACACCCCTTCAAATTAACATAATCACAGAGCCTAATTGCAAAACAATTAGAAAGGAGCAGTGATCCTAGAATTCAAGATCTGCAAGCCTGCCGTACAAAACAAATTCTGCAAAATCTGTTCTGGAACAGATTTGGTCGTATAACAGAAGACAGCCAAAGTAAATCAAGAGGAGAGAGACAGAACTCAATCAATCATCTCATTCCACCCCTTTTGGAGTCTAGAATAACACAGTACAGGTACATGGTTTGTCTAAAAATTATAACTACCACCTACAGCCCACTCCACAAATGAAAAAAATGATACTGAAATTCCAGGAACAACAAACTCTATGGAGCCACATGAGACCGACATGCTCTGCATCTCAAAATGGTATTTCACAAAATCTGGATGGCAAAAAACATCCAACATCGAAAAGATGTCCAAAGAAGAAAATGCTCTGGCCATTTAACTGAAACCAGTTAGTAGTGGAGCAGTATCGAACTACAGCAAGGATTTAGGCCAGATAATGCAATAACCACATTTTTAAAAAGCAGATGGCATTGCTGCTGCCATGAGCAAGACAAGGTCTCAGCTTCTTGCAAACCACTCCTCAAACAAAGAGGAGGAGAATAAAAGTCCTTTCCTGCAAAAACTCCACCTCTTCTGCCAAGGAAACCTTGCTTTACCCTGGACAACTGATGACTCGGTATCTTCTGATGTTCATGAGGTCTCAAGACCAAGTGATACACTATAAAGGCCTGTGACAATGAACCACCACAGCCACTAGCCATCCTCTTTAAAATCTATCTCCATCTACTTAATGGCCCCATAAATAGAAATAAAAATAGGAGTGGACTATAAACAAGATGAAAAGCAAAGCTTCACTCTCAAATTACTGATCAATTTCTTTACTCTCAGTACTTCAGGAAAAGTTTTGAAAAGATAATTATTTCTCAAATTATAATTTTTCTGGATAAACTGCATTTACTTAGTATGAGACAGTTTATCTTCTGACAGAACAGATCAGCATCTGCTCTCCTCCTCACCACAAGTACCGACAGGAATAGATCCCTGGATAGATGCAACGATATCTTTCTGCACTTGACACTGTTGTGCCATTGATCGAGTTTGGTATCAAGGGATTTTTTTTTGAAAGTTTGAAGGTTTTTGACAATCAGTTCTTCAGTGAGCATCCAGTGAGAACCAGTGTACCTATGGGAAAAGTGTTTTGACCTTCATGATGGAAGTGTATATTTGAACATCCTACTATTCATTCCACAGGCTCAAGGATGTGTAGAGGACTACATCCTGACCCTCACCTTTGACTGAGACAACAAAGAGCTATGGTCAAAGAAATCAATCAAGTTCTTCAGATGAACTTTGCTTGGGGCCATCCCTGGCAAGATATACCCTACTATTAGATAAAACTGGGGGGGGGGGGGATTACAAGATTCAATCTAGATATACAAGATTCAACTTAGATATATATAACCTGAAACCAAGATTCCTGGCTACACATCTACAAAATCCCTGCCCTCTTCTAACCAAGAATGCAGCAAAAACACAAGGAACTTATACACCCTGCCTTTGGAATGAAGCAAGATGTACCATGCTGTACAGTTCCCAAGCACACACTGTACTAGGCTACCCATTGTTTGCGTGGTAATCTTGTCCCCTATCCTATCTCAGCCCCCTTGGCAAAATTCAGGCAAGGGGTATTGCCTCACACAACCCTGGCAGAGTACACAAACATTCAACAAACCTCCACAATCAGTATAGCATAGACTGGGCATCTTTGGCTTTTCTCTTATGCACAAAGTTCAGACAATGTAGATCTCACCAATGCTCCACCTCCCACAGAAACCTCTGACCTCTCACAATAGCAGGACTGCACGCTCCTTTCTCCCAAGATATAGCAGACTCTTGAACCAACTAGTAATAAAGACTCTTGATACAGCAATGCAAGAATTTAACCTAATTGTTAATGTGTGGCAAAATCAGCATCACATCTACAGTACTTGCTTCACCCTGCACCTTTCTCTTTGGAACAAATGACAAGAGAGAGAGAGAGAGAGAGAGAGAGAGAGAGAGAGAGAGAGAGAGAGAGAGAGAGAGAGAGAGAGAGAGAGAGAGAGAGAGAGAGAGAGAGAGAGAGAGATCAATATCAATGAAATTATCAATATTTCCACTCAACTGACACACACATACACAGGACCACAAACATATTACCATCTGGAAACACAATGCAATTCAACTAGCTACATGCTCATGACTTACACAGAAGGAATATCTGCTCTAAACCTGTAGCCAACAACTGCAGCATATATCACACATGAGAAGATTGTGTAGCTATGACATACACCTTATGATGTTTTTCTTTTTCTTTTTTAAACTAAGGTAAGTGAGGAATACCTATTTCTCTTCTACACTTTCCATGCACTCATAACTGCAGTTATCAGGCTGTCATCTATAAGGGCTTGGGAGAAAGAAGACGAAGAAGAAGAAGAAGAAGAAGAAGAAGAAAAGGAACTTACTTTTATTACTAAACGTACATGCATACAAATTACCATTCCAAGGGAAGCGATACAACATGCTCATATGACAAGTGACTAAAAGAGACCAGAAGAAAAGATAAAGAGTATAAGAGTAAACATCGACAAAGTTTGTGCTGGAAGACCTACGATAAAGAGGTGCGGGAAGGTGTAGGAAAAGGTCCAAAATTAAGCGTAAAGACCTGCAAAAAGTGTCGACAAGACGGATAAGGCAGAGAAAAAGTATGTTACACGTACAAGAAAAGTGTTATATGCTTATTATCAAGAATCGGGATCCAAATCTAAGGGAAAACGACTGCACTTTACAAAGAGGGACGAGTAGAGAAGTGGAGGGAAGATGGGGAGAGAGAGAGGGGGGGGGGGGGGCCTTTCACATACTCTTAGGGATGGGAAACAAGCTTGGGACACAAGACCGTTAAATTCACATAATGTGGTTATTCAACAATAGTAAACTGTTCACCTGATTTCCATGCATAACCATTATCTACTCTTTCTTCACAATATATTCACAGTCTCTAAAAAAACAACTACAGGATAATGACTTGACGGCCATTCTATATTCAACCACTTCCTCTTTCAAAAAGAACTCTCACAAATACGATCAGAATTCTAAACTTTCTGCAAAAAAACTCCATTCAGATACAACTGATAGAGAGAGAGACTCTCCCTCCTTCCCACACTCACTCACTCTTCCTCCCACACACACATTCACACACACACATACTCCCTCCCCCTCCCCCCCCCACACACACACACACACACACACACTCCTTCCCCCTCCCACATACACCCAATCACACACACTCACACCCAATCACACACACTCACACCCAATCACACACACTCACACCCAATCACACACACTCACACCCAATCACACACACTCACACCCAATCACACACACTCACACCCAATCACACACAATCACACACTCACACACAATCACACACTCACACACAATCACACACTCACACACTCACACACAATCACACTCACACACAATCACACTCACTCACTCACTAACTCACTCTCCCATACACCCACTCACTCACCCATACATCCACTCACTCACCCATACACTCACTCACTCACCCATACACCCACTCACTAACACACACACACCCATACACCCACTCACTAACACACACACACCCATACACCCACTCACTAACACACACACACCCATACACCCACTCACTCACACACACACCCATACACCCACTCACACCCATACACCCACATTCACAAATGAGAGAAAAAAAATCTACTTACTTGGCCGGGCTTGCTGAGGCATCTGATAACTCATCCTGCCTGCTCAGCTCTCCTCACTCTGAAACAAGGGGAAAACAATAAGTCAATCAAACATCCAAATACTACACAAGTGAGAAACACTAAGCAATTCAACATTTTAAAAGATGGGGAGAGGGAAGGAGGGAGAGGAGAGGAAGAGAGAGAGGGAGGGAGGAAAAAAAAGAGAGAGAAAGATAGAAAGAAAGAAAGAGGGAGAGGGAGAGGGAGAGAGAGAGAGAGAGAGAGAGACAGAGACAGAGAGAGAGAGAAGAGAGAGACAGAGACAGAGAGAGAGAGAGAGAGAGAGAGAGAGAGAGGAGAGAGGAGAGAGAGAGAGAGGAGAGAGAGAGAGAGAGAGAGAGAGAGAGAGAGAGAGAGAGAGAGAGAGAGAGAGAGAGAGAGAGAGAGAGAGAGAGAGAGAGAGAGAGAGAGAGAGAGAGTGAGAGAGTGAGAGAGAGAGAGAGAGAGAGAGAGAGAGAGAGAGAGACAGAGAGAGAGAGAGAGAGAGAGAGAAATACCCAACCAAAATAAAATTCCTACCAATTAAAGTAAATTAGGAAGAGGCTATCAAGTATTGACAGGAAAGCTGTATAATGATTTTCATGCACTTGCTAAGTGATGGGATTCAGGACGATTTAATTTTCAAAACTCATGGAGTTCTTGTAGAAGGCATGACCATGAATTACAAACAGGTAAAGGAAGACTGAACTTTTATTCTATTTTATTTTTAACTTCCTGAATACTTGCTTGAAAGGGAAATAAAACAGATGAAAACAGATAGGATATCGAACAATCCCACCAAAGTATATAGTAGTCTCTATTTACTGTCTACACCAGAAAAGAAAGATGTTTCATCAGGAAATGTTCAAAGAAGAAGTGCCTTGTACTGTCAAACTGCATGTTACTTGCACCCAACACATAATATAATTCATACCTATCACCTACAGGAGGAAAAAAGTCACAACCATAAACATATAAAATGACCAAAGGGGAAAATATCCCACTGACACCAAGAGCAGATGTATACAAGCACTGTTTCAACTGTGGCTAATGGCTTAATATCATCAATTTCTATACTTTTTACATATAGATGGCTCCACTAAGAGTAACTTACTAGCACTGACTCATCCCCTTACCTGCTTCCCAATTTCTAGAATTCTCATAAAGAAGAATACTACAGTTGCTAAAAATACAAATAGGGCACGAAATGAAGGTAAATGAAGTAGGCCTAGTAATTGAATCCTAGGTGTCTAAGTACTTGTGGAACCATTTAAGTGGAATAGGGCATGTTTCCAATACAAAGAGATTAACAGTAATGACGATGGCATGCAAGAGGTCCAACTCTTGACATCCCCTACAAATAGTAGATTCATACATCTCTGGCATCTAGTCAGTGACACTGTTCACATCCAAAATGCATTGAAATTCAAAGAACCTAGCATTATAACATACTGATCCAAATAGACTGCATTTATCCACAGACAAATTCTATGACAGAACTTCATCTTACAAAGTTAAAGGTGAAATTATTTTCTGATGCATTAAAAACATAAGAACATTATAATTATCATATCAAAACTAAACCTACTGCCACAATCATGTGCACATGCCCACCTGGACAGACAGACAGATCATTAATTCAGCTTCTTCTAAAAAAGTTATAAAAACATGTGAATTATATAAATAACACTTCATTGCAATGACTTCATAAGGTAAGAATGACTATTACCTAACAACACAACCGCACATGTAAATTAAAAAAAAAAAAAAAAAAAAAAAAAAAAAATACACTTATAATAAAGACTGCAAAAACAAGTGAAAGACTTTCTGCCAAACATCTGACAGCCATTTTGGAAATGCTTCATCCCAGGGACTCAACATCAAATGCAATTCCTCACAGCTTTTGCATTTGAATCAACATTTTTAGCTTTCCAGGACTTTGTTTGGTAATCATACTTTTCATATTTGATACCATGATGAGCATTTATTAGAAAGTGATTTAAGCCCCAAATTTTCACCAAAACATCGATAGCAAAGGGATGCAATAGTCCAATTAAAATCATTCACATTCTAATAAGCACAAACATCTTTTTGAAAAGTTTGCATATAAAAAACCTCGGCAAATGAACATTTACACCAATTTTGTAATTTTCGGCAATTTTGCAGCTACGCAAATGCCCCAACCCAGCATAAAAAATCCAAACCTAAGGACTGGAACCTACGAGACACGAGCTGACCTTCTGGACACAGCGTGGGGGATTGCTTGCGAAGTGACCACACCCCTCCGAGACTACCTCCTTACTACTCTCGCCAAAATGCCCGGGGGAACTTCTGGGAATTCACAAATGTTGCCGCAAGACCCGAAAACATTCCTAACCCTGGACTTTGACCCCAGACCCATTTTCTTTGTTTTTGCCATAAATTTTATTGTCTGCACAGATTATTTCATATATCTGTGAACATAGTTATATAACCCTTCTTTTTTATTGTCCTAAAATTCTCCATACCACAGTATTAAATACAGAAATAGTAAAATCAAATAAAAAAATTGGGATAACTTAAAATGGTAATATATAACACAATATATGACAATAACCATATTCATAACAATAAAAACAATGATAATGATACTTAAAATTTAAACATTAATAGAACCACTTACACAAACAACTAAAATTAACAGAAGATAATTTAAAACTAACAAAGTTTCCATAAAACATGAAAAAAATAGAAAAAAAAGTCACAAACGTCAATTCACAATTTTAATCTTTCTTTTCACTAATAAGTTAATAATATCCAAATGAAGAGAACGTCCATTAATTGCACTAATAATACAAAACTCTCGATTTCATATATATAAAAAAAATAAAATAAAATTATTCGACACCGAGAACAATACGAAACGATTAAAACAAAAATTATTTATCCACGTCTTTAACAGGATTTGATTTTCCAAACAGTCTTTCACCAAAACATTAACCAAATGGCCAACGAAACGGAAAAAAAAAATAAATAAATAAATAAAAAAATCACTCGATTTCCTCGATAATCATTAATTTTTCCAAATAATATTTTCTCATTATCGTCACTTTTTTTTCCATTATTTTCTTCACCATTTTTTTAATTCAATTATTTTTTTTCTTAATTTTCTAATTATTTTCTTTCCATTCTTTCTTCTTTCTTCTTCCTTCCTTCCTTCTTTCCTTCTTTCTTTCTTTCTTTCTCTCTGTCTCTCTACTCCCACGAATAAGAAGAGATAAGAAAATCTGATAACGATTGATAACCATTGATAACACCTCCTCCCCCTCCCCCCTACCCCCCCAACATCACCCCACCCCCCCTCGACACGCATGGGGGGGGTATGAGGGGGGAAGGGGGGGGGTGTGGAGATCGAATTTTCAATCTTAAATTAAAGTCTTATTTTTCTAATATATGCCGAGTGATTCGGAAGGAAGGAAGAGAGAAGGAGAAGGAGAGAGAGAGGAGGAAAGAAAAAGCCTCCCCCCCAAAAAAATAAGAAGAACAAACAAAGAAAACGAAAAAAAACAAACAAACACACCCTCCCTCCCTCCCAGTCCCCTCCCCTCCCCCCCCTCCCTCTCTCTCACTCACACACACAAACAAAACAAACCTCTTATTTCGCCTCTTTTCTCTCCTCCCGCGCACTCACCCGCTTCCACGAGGTCGAAGGCAGACTATCTTCACCGTACGTAATCCCTTCGTCCGGCCGCGAGTCTCCGAATATCCGAAATAAGGCGAGAAAAGCGTCCGGATAAGAGAGACGAATCCGGAAAAACCTCTTCTCTCTCCCGCATCGATCGAGCCACTGAACCGCCCGGCGTCAGGTGCGTCCTCCGCCGAGACAAGTAGTTCCCTCCTCCTTGTCGTCACTTGAGGGATGTTGAATATATGTGTAATATATATATATTTATATTTTTTTTGGGGGGGAGATTTTTTTTTTGGAGTTTGTGGGTATTGTTTGTTTTGATTTTTTTTGAGAGGGGGAGGGTGTATGGGTCCATTCCCCCCACCCCCTTTTGTCGTCACTTGAGGGATGTTGAATGTAATGGATGTGTAATATATATATATATTTTTTTTTGGTAGATATTTTATTTTTTTGGGTTGTATTGTTGGGGATTTGGGTGTTTTTAATTTTTTGGGGAGGGTGTGTGGTTGGATTTTTTTTCTTCTTAAGGGAGAGGTATGTGTGTTCAATGGAATGAGTGGTTTGACAGTTTGTCTGTTTTTTTTATTTAATCCCTTTTTTCAAGCCGAGAGGAATGATTTATTTCTTTGCAGTTAAGATTATTTAAATAACATAGGTCTTAACGATGACTGGCGCCGGTCTGATCTCCAATAATGCATTTTCCTGATGATGACAGCCAAAATAAGTGAACATCCAAATTGACTGATTTTTTTGCTTATTTTTCCTTTTTTTTAAATACGTAGAACTGAAATTCCTTCTTAGATGAATCAAGACCAACAAAACATATACAGCCATTTCAGAAATGTGGCTAAAAACATCCATAAATTCTCTTAAAATCGGTATTCTTGCCTCCTTCCTAAATCTTGCCATCTGCATCGTATTCAGATTTCCAGAGATTTTTAACCGATTATTTTATTCCCTATTTTTTTTGTCTTCACGAATTTCCCATCGAATATTCACAACCTCGATCCATAAATATATATCTACGTGATATTTCTAATCGAATATGACATAACAGGAGAATGATAGTAAGAAAAATAAAGACGATTTAAGAGGAAGACAATTTGCAAGATGCAGATATCATTGCAATATTGACAGAGTGCCATAGATCTTCCTGCAACGTCTCTCTCTCTCTCTCTCTCGTCTCTCCTTCACTGAAATTGTTAAATATCAATTTCTTATGAGAGGGAAAGAGAGATAAAAAAGTTTATTTATGATTATGGATATATTCATGACTGCAGGATTGATCAAACATTGCAGATTTGTTTGCAATATCGTGTTTTCTGTGTTGGGTTGCAGGGATATGAATACGGTTTGTAGTTTTGGATTTCAGATGAGATTAAGAAAATTGTTGGTTATAATGATAATGACAATAACAAGAGTAATAATAATAATAGTAGTAATAATAATAATGACAACAACAATAATAGTGATAGTAAGAATACTATAATATCTATGTATGTATATATATATATATATATATATATATATATATATATATATATATATATATATATATATACATACAGATATACAGATATAGATATATATGTATATATACACATATATATACATAAACACACATGTACGTAGACACACTCACTCACACACACACACACACACACACACACACACACACACACACACACACACACACACACACACACACACACACACTCACTCACACATAGAGAGAGAGAGGGGGAGAAAGAGAGAAAGAGAGAGAGAGAAAGAGAGAGAGAGAGAGAGAGAGAGAGAGAGAGAGAGAGAGAGAGAGAGAGAGAGAGAGAGAGAGAGAGAGAGAGAGAGAGAGAGAGAGATTTATATAAACTCACCATATGTGCGTACATTTCCGCGTGTTCAGTATCGATTACTAGTTTCTCCAGATGCTGACCTAAACCAAACTTAAAAAAAACCCATCCACGAAATTCAAAACAACACAAAATTATTAATCAAAGTAAGTACTCCACCTTTTTTTTTTATTAAAGAATGGAACACACCACTGACTCCCCAAAAAATAATATTCCTAATGAAGCCACAAGAAAGAGGGGAAAATTTTGAGCATCCGACGAGGAAAACTGAGATGTGAGATCTGTAATTAGGATTTGGTTGGGGGTAACCAGTGTTCTTTTAAGTATTTCCTAATTTCCCTTCTCGTAGGGCGAAGGAGATCTTTGAATGAGGAGGAGATCAGGCAGGCGCGTGGGTTTTGTGTGGATTGAGAAGGACTGCTGTAAATCAACTCCATAGCTGTGAAATGTTTTTTTAAAAATATATATATAAAGTTTGCTTCCAGTGGCTGCCGGAACCGCCGTTTGACAGGCGTTGTTCGAAGGGGTTGAATGCTCTTTTGTTTTGACAGCGAGGAGGTAGAGAGAACGACTTAGATTAACCTCCACGAAACCAAAAACATAAAGCAAAATATATAAAGCCCTATGACCATCACAAATAAAGCGTAGGAGCGAAGGAAACCCCCATTCTTAGAGAGAAAGGACCGAGCGCGGCGAGGGAATCGAACGAGGGGCGGCGAAGAGGCATCTGGACCGGACCGCGAGGCGCAAAGACCAGGAAATTCTTGAAATAGAGATTTTTCTTTTGTGCCCTCCTATTTGTCGGCGAGTCTTAGAAGAAGAAATTAAGCCTAATGCCGGAAGTCCCTCGCTGGCCAATACACGTCGCCTTCCCTTCGACGAAAAGGAGTGAGTTGGACGGAAAAATTTATGTTCCCTCGTGGACGGACATTATTCTTGAAAGATGAAACAACAAACGAAAGAAAAGGAAAGAAAAGGAAAAAAAAAGAGGAAGATAGATACTTGTTTATCTCTTCCTTTGAGTCCCAGAAGAATTAACAGAATTAAGAAAACAGTTTTTTTTTCTTCTTTATTTTTTCCCCGGCGAGCTAGAACAACAGGGCCCCCGTTAAGAAAAACAAGACACTGGCAACATACATTATACAAAGGAGTTTTAAACTAATCGGCAAAGGGAAAAGGGCCTTTGAAACCTGAGGTGTTTAAGGACCTCATGGGAACACATACCCCTCCAGGGTATGTGTTAGGGCGGGGGCGGGGGAGGGCATGGGAAAGGTAGGCATGTTTGGTAATATGATACCATTCATGAGGTATGGGTGATGTAGAATACACTAATATAGACTGCGTAAAATTATTTATTTATGGATGAATGCATGATGTAATAACGGTGAAGTTAATTACGATTATGATAACGATGACGATAACATAACAGGCAAGATTTTTACTTTTTAAACAGAAAGAACGAAATAATGACAATGAAAATGTTACTGTTATTCATAATAATAATAACGATATACAAAGATGAATTTATATACCCACCATGTCATAGATTCATTTACCCTCAAGAGTTTATATGTTTCATTTTTCATCAACTCTGAAATTCCACACACGCAGATAGAACTGTCTTCTTACTAACATTTTTCAGCCATAAAACTTGGCATATTGTTTAAACCATTAAATATCCATGACATATGTAATTTTCTCGCTACTCAGTCCCCTTTCATTATTATAATGCATTAGTATCATTATCATTTTTTTCTCTTAACACAAGTTCATTTCGTCACTTCGGAGCCGAGAGGGAAAAAGAGAGAGAGAGAGAGAGAAGAGAGATTTTATGGAAGCAAATCGTCAAACCATCCTTGTAAAAATGAATTTCGTTTGATAAGCTCGAGTATGCCGCCATGTTGCAGACACGAGGTACGTAGAGACGATAAAATCACAGATTCCTTCGGGTACCTAGCCCTTACGCACGCTAAATGGCCTTCCCGACCCGGCCTGTGATCTGACACGGGTAACAGCCAATTACCGGGTTAACCATGACGCCCTAACATCAGCCTGGCGTAATTACTATGACTGGGTTACCGCGTTGAAGCTGGGAGGTCTGTCCACACGGTTGAACGGATGCATTTTCCTTGATCTTTATCTTCTTTCTCTTCTCTCTCTCTCTCTCTCTCTCTCTCTCTCTCTCTCTCTCTCTCTCTCTCTCTCTCTCTCTCTCTCTCTCTCTCTCTCTCTCTCTCTCTCTCTCTCTCTCTCTCTCTCTCTCTCTCTCTCTCTCTCTCTCTCTCTCTCTTCTTCTTCTTTCGTCTCGGTTTGGAATTTTATGATTAGTTTGTCGGTTTATTGATAGATTACTAGAATGAAAGGGATAGACAGACAGACAGGTAGATAGATAAATAGATAGATAGAGAGAGAGAGCAAATACACCTCGTCGACGATGAAGATTAAGATCTAAAAAAACGGAGTGAGATATTACACACACACTCTACATTAACAGAAAAAAAAATGACGCGGTACCAACCCTCTCGACCAAAATCACACAATGCGTCCTCCTCCTCACCACCTCCTCCCCCTCCCCTCCCACGCCACCTCCTCCTCTTCCCCTCCCTCACCACCACCTCCTCCTCCCCCTCCCTCGCCACCTCCTTCCCCCATCCCTCCCTCCCTCACCACCTCCTCCTCCCCTCCCCTCCCTCCCTACCACCTCCCCCCCTCCCCTTTCCTCCCTCCACATAATAAAAAATAAACATAAATTATCCCCGAGTAAAAAAAAAAAAAAAAAAAAAAAAAAAAAAAAAAAAAAAAAAAAAAAGACGGCTTCAAATCGACTTAAAAAACACCGCTAAGCGAAATGACCGGTTAAAGCGAGGGACGACAGATAGCCTCGAGACTGGAGCGAGCGAAGTGAGACCACACACACAATATCTGGCAATGTCCTAGTTCAGTTTAAATCGCGTCTCTTTAAGCTGAGTTCAGACGAAAGTTGATGAAAGAGTAAGTTTTGGTTGAAGATGGTGCGTAAGAGATAGTAGAGAGAGGTGTGGAAATGTGATAGAGATAGAGGAAGAGCTGAGAAGTAAGAGTAAGCTTTAGCAAAACAAACAAAATACTGATACAGTTAGAGTAAGCTTTGATCGAAGAAGGCTGAGAACTTTATACAGCTAAGAGTAAGCTTTGGTAAAATAAAACTGAGAATTTGATAGAGTAAGCTTTGATGAAATAAAACTGAAAATTGGATTTAGTAAGAGTAAGCTTTGATAAAAAGAAAACTTAGAATTAGATACAGTTAGAGTAAGCTTTGATCGAAGAAGACTGAGAAATTTATAC